GTCTGTCTTTCTGTCTGTTTGTCAATCCGCTCGCCCGTCCATCCGTCCGTTATCTTTTCATCTCTGCTCCTCATCTTTCCTTTATCATCATTTGACATATATGGACGGGGTCAATGCTCACGTCATTGGCGTATCAGTTTAGATGTTCGTGCGTCACTGACGTATCATCTTAACAAGAGACGATGCAGCGAGTGCGATGGAAAACACACAAAGCTAATCTCTCTCTCTTTCTCTCTCTCTCTCTCTCTCTCTCTCTCTCTCTCTCTCTCTCTCTCTCTNCACACACACACACACACACACACACACACACACACACACGTACACACACACACACACGCACACACACACTAACACTGTATACATACATGTACGAGCATACACAGGTAGGGCGGCAGCAGCAGAGGGGGAGAAGGGGACATCGCACGCTGACCTGTCATCGGCGTCACGACCCAATTACGGGGATATCGTATTGCCGCGTGTGAGCAGCCGAACCGATCTCATCGCGGCGGGTGCAGCTGGCCAGAGCTGCTTTACGTCGATACGCGTAATTACGTGACGTCACGCGTCGATACGCATAATGGCATGACGTCACGCGTCGATACGCATAACGGCGTGACGTCACGCGTCGATACGCATAATGGCATGACGTCACGCGCCGATACGCATAATGGCGTGACGTCACGCGTCGATACGCATAATGGCGTGACGTCACGCGCGAACACAGAACGCACGCCGAGCACGACGTAACACGCATGTGTGTACTACCGCTGCGCGCGCGCACACACACACGCACGCACGCACGCACGCGCGCGCGCGCACACACACACACAAACACGCACGCACACACACACACACACACCCCCCACCACAAACACGCAACCCACAAACACACGCCACGCACGCACGCAACACACACAACATACACGCACCACACACACACACAAACACGCACACACAAACACACAACAACACACGCGCCGCACGCACGCACCGCACCACACACACACACACACGCACACCACAAACACACAACACGCCACCACAAGCACGCACGCAACGCACGCCACGCCACGACACGCACGCATACACACACACACACACGCCCACACGCACACACATACACCCACACACGCACGCACGCACGCACGCGCGCGCACACACACACACACGCGCGCGCGCATACACGCACACGCACACACACACACACACACACGCACTCACGCCAGCACACACACGCACTCACGCACGCACACACACGCACGCACGCACCAGGTGCTCCGATCTTTACCGTCACGACGTCATGCCTTGTGTTGTGTCGTGGTGGCGTGGCGGCTTTGTATGAGTGTATGTGCGTGCGTGCATGCGTGTGTGCGTGTATGTGCGTGCGTGTATGTGCGTGCTTGAATGTGTGTGTGCGTGTATGTGCGTGCGTGCATGCGTGTGTGCGTGTATGTGCGTGCGTGCATGCGCGTGTGCGTGTTTACGTTCATCGCTCTCTCTCTCTCTCTCTCTCTCTCTGTTTGTTTGTTTGTATGTTTGTTGTGTTTGTTTGTGCATTCGTGCGCGTGTGTGTATGTGTGTGTGTGTCCGTATGTGGGTGTGTGTTTTGTGTGTGTGCGCGCGTGTGTGTGTGTGTGCGCGCGTGTGTGTGTGTGCGCGCGTGTGTGTGCGTGTGTGTGTGTGCGTGTGCTGTGCGCGCGCTGTGTGTGCGTGATGGCGGCCTGTGCTGGGTGTGCGTGTGCGCGCAGGTGGCGCTGTGTGTGGGGTGTGTGCGCGTTGGTGAGGCGTGTGCGCAGCGCGCGGCCATGTTCTGTGCGTGTTGTGTGCGGCGTGTGTGTGTGTGCGTGTGCGTGCGTGTGTGTGCGTTGTGTGTCGTGCGCGGCGTGTGTGGGTGTGCTGCGTTGTGTGTCGCGCCGCGCGGCGTGGCATCTGGTCTTCCATGCACACGAGCCAGACGACGATTGTAACCAGCTTCATGCGTCGCGCGATTCTGACTTGTCATGTGCTACAACACATATTAGGGTAACGTGGCTGCAGCGGATGTTAGCAGCAACAGAAAGCAACACGCGCCGACAAAAACAAAACGTTTAGCGTGAGCTGTGCCGTATATAGAACACAGTACGGCACCGTCCTGATACTGTACTATAGAGAGGAGATATGCATTTCTGCTGCATTTATCACTTGAGAGTCCATCTCTAGCCTTCATCTATGTCTATCTATGTATCTTGCATCTGTCTATCTATCGATCTCATGCCATCGAATCAACGAGTCCCATCCATCCATCCCATCCATCCATTCCATCCTTCCATCCTATCACTACGATCCATCCCATCAGCCAGCCATCCATCCCATCACTAATCATCCATCCATCATCCATCCAATTCCATCCAATCCACCAATCTCCATCCAGTCGCTCCATCCATCTCAGCCATCCGATCCATACCATCATCCACCCGTCGTCCCGTCCGTCTCGTACCGTCCCGTCCGTCCGTCCGTCCGTCGTCCGTCCATCCATTGCCATCATCCATCCATCTATCCGCTCATGCCGTCCCGTCACGTCATCCATCCTCCATACACCGAATCCATTACCATCATCCATCTACCATCTTTCGAAGACACACGCAGTGCGCGCACGCCACGCACACCCACGCATAACATACATGCACGCACGCCCGCGCGCACACACGCTTCCTATATTTACATAACCTCCTAGCAAGCTTAGCCCGGATATACCCTAGCGTCACACAAGACCGAACATTAATTGACAGACAGACAGGCAGGTTGCACACACGATCATAATAATATCTGTGCACTTACTCACCCGATATATCAGCAGCTTCCCTAGCAGCGACTACAGCATCGACACAGACGCGCTTCCTTTAGATCCTCCATAGGCGACAGAGACAGGGAAAGCGAGAGAGATAGATATAGATAGAGAAAGAGGAGAGAGAGAGAGAAAGAGAGAGAGAATGAGCGAGGCGGCGATGCGCGTGGTTTATCCGCGTGCATGGAGTCAGCGTGCGTGCCTGATTCGTTTGTTAGACGTAGCATTGCGCGCGCAGCAACCGCTGCCATCGCGTGTGATCCGGCGTGGGCACGTTGTAGTAATACAGGTCACTGCACACGCGCACACGTTTACGTGTGTCTGGCCGTGTGTGTGCGTGTGCGTGCGCGTGTGTGTGCGTGTGTGTGTGCGTGTGGTGCTGTTGTGATGTGTGTGGGTGGGTGTGTATGTGTGTGTGTGTGTGTTGTGTAGTGTGTGTGTGTGTGTGTGTGTTGATGTGTGTGTGGTGTGTGGTGTGTGTGTGTTGAGTGTGCGTGTATGTGTGTGGTGGTGTGCGCGTGAATGTGTGTGTGTGTGTGTGTGTGGTGGGTGTGTGTGTGTGTGTGTGTGTGTGTGTGTGTGTGTGTGTGTGGCGTGTGATGGGCGGGTTGTCTGGCTCTCACACACTCTCTCACTCCCTCGCGCTATATACCTAAATTTTTCTCCCTCGCTCTCGCTCTCCCCCCCTCTCCCTCTCCCTCTCTCTCGCTCTATATACGTACGGTACGTATAATCAAGGTTTGCGCGCATACTTACTTACGCTTGAAATCAATACTTTACGCATGTTTTCCCAGCGGTGTTGCGCGCTTGCCGGTGTACCTGAGTATTCGGACGTTTTCCTTTATTGGTTTGATTTTAAAATCTGTATATTTCTATGCAAACCCTATATACCTGCCTGCCTGCCTGCCTGACAGCCTGAATGCCTGCAAGCCTGCCTACCTGCCTGCCTACCTACCTACCTAACCAACCACCCACCCACCTACCTACCTACCTACTTACCTACCTATCTATCTATATGCCTACCCACTACACCTTCCATCCCCATACGTTAATCCCTAAAAATATTAGGCAGACTAAGTTCAGAGAAAATGGTGAGCGTCCAAATACTCCGATAGACCGGGTACGCCATGCGTGGCAGGCGAGGTAAGAGCTGCGACAGACTCATGGCCAGAAACGCACGGTGTGCTTGTGGCGCCCTCGGGTGGACACGAAGCTCATTACCAGCATCGAGTTCGAAGGTTGGAGCCGGTGAGCGAGAAAGGGGGAGAGAGGGAGAGGGGGAGGCAGAGAGAAAGAGAGAGAGAGAGTGAGAGGCAGAGAGTGAGAGAGAGAGATAGAGGAGAGAGAGAGAGAGAGAGAGAGAGAGAGAGTGAGAGGCCAGAGAGTGAGAGAGAAGAGATAGAGGAGAGAGAGAGAGAGAGAGAGAGAGAGAGAAGAGAGAGAGATATCAAGAAAGAGCGCGCAGGAAAAGGAGAGAGAGAGAGAGAGAGAGAGAGAGAGAGAGAGAGAGAGAGAGAGAGAGAGAGAGAGAGAGAGAGAAAGAGAGGGAGATCAATAAAGAGCGCGCAGGAAGATATTAATTATATATTTACAGCAGCTGGATATTATTTTTGCAGTTATATATCCTTTTGAACATTATAACGCATTCAGACAGGTTTGCCGACCAACACCTGCGTCTATTTCAGTAGTCATACGACGCTCAAGGGCACATCCATCAAAGATAATATAATGCCATATTAAATTCTTCATGCATCCATCCGTTGCTAGGAGACCGATTAGAACGCGCGTGTGCGTGAATTTTTTATATATTGTCACAAAATGTTAAAATCGTAATGGCAACAAACGCAGTCTTACCATCAATAGATTCAATACGTTATGTTTGAAAATTTATTTAGAAAAATGTTAAATCCCAATACAAAAACCAACCCCTCAAAGGCACTAACAAGCTCAAGAAATGCATTATTTAGTGAATTTAATGGCTTTGGCCTTTACATTTATATATATATATATATATATATATATATATTTTTAGATTACAGCTTATAAACTGCATACATACATGCATGCACGTGCGAACACACACACACACGCGCACGCACGCCCGCACGCACGCACACGCGCGCACCCGCACACACCGGCATGCACATACGCACACGCATATGTGTATATATATATAAATAATACATACTTAGCTATTATACTACGCTTATATTACGCTTATACTACGCTATTATACTTAGCTATACTACGCCACAGGTATAGTTATAGATCGCGAAAAGAATTCCTGTCATCACCAGTAGATGGCGCAGTCGTCGAGGCTGCTGTTGACGAGTTGGTGGTAGCGTCTGCGTATGACGTGAGCAGACGCCTTCGGCTGCCTGTCGCGCGTCAGTATGCCCTTCTTGTTGCCAACGACGCGTGTGATCGCTGCAGGGGAAGCAGACGAGATGTCTTACACGCGAGAAGTGGTTAACTGATTGATCTGTTTGATTGAGACTTGACCATCACCTGATGAACCTGAACGATGTGTTCTCACCGCCCCCCTTACACAAACAGCTTAGTTGCTAGGTCAGCCAAGCTCCGCCCACCGATCAATCACTACATAGTATATATAGAGAGAGTATATATAGTTTATTGGTGCATCACGCAATTCAATCCCAGCTGACTATCCTCGTCGATCCACAACTACTCTACTGCTACAGCTATTACTACCACCGCCTCTGTCTCTGTCGCTACCACTACCACAAGTACTACCACAAGTACTACAACTACCACTACAACTACCCACTACTAATACTACCACTACCACTACCACTACCACTACCACAAGTACTACCACTACAACTACAACTACCCACTACTAATACTACCACTACCACTACCACTACCACAAGTACTACCACTACAACTACAACTACCCACTACTAATACTACCACTACCACTACCACTACTACAACCACTATCACTACCACTATTCTACTATAATCTACTACTCACTCTGAGCAGTCATGAAGTCAGCAAAATTCCAGATGAGCTCGCCCACGAAATATCCTTTCTTGCGAAGAACGTCGAACGCCTTGTGATATTCACCGATTAATTGCACCTGGTATTCCTCCGTGAATACGTACGGCGGATCCTGGGACGAGAGAGGGAGAGAGAGAAGTTTTGGCAGAGTAAGTGACAGCTTTGATTTGTCTGCGAGTGATCACTCGATTTCCTTTTACTTGCTGGGATTCTGTCATGCACGCATTTGCTATCACTAGATTCTAAAGTGCCTGCTTTCATTCCGGACTTTAACCCCTCATTCTCTCCCTCTCATTTTCTCTTTTAACTCTCTCTTTCTCTCTTTCTTTTCTCTCCTACTCACTGACTCTCTCTCTCTCTCTCTTTTTCTCTTTCTCTCTCTCACGATCTCCTCTCATCTTCTCTCTCTTCTCTCTCGTGCTCTCTCTCTTTCTCTCTCATCGTCATATAGTACTTTCTCTCATTTTCTCTCTCCTCTCTCTTTCTTCTCTTTCTTCTCTGCCCCTCAGATTTTCTAATTCTCCTCTCTCCTATCTTCACTGACTCTTTCTACGATCTCCATATGCTGGCTTGTTCTCCCTCCATCTTCTCATCGCCTCCTCCCCCTCCTCCTCCTCCCTCGCTGCTCCTCCCTTCGCCAAGTCATCCCCCTCCTCCTCCATCCTCCATCATCCTTCTCATCTCCTCCCCAGCTCCTCGCTCCTTCTCCCTGCTCCTCCCTGCCTCCCCCTCCTTGCTCCCTTTTCATTCCCTCAGGGTCCAGCTCTCCCTGCCTCCTCCTCCTCCTCCTTCTCATCCTCCGGCTCCCCCTGCCTCTCCTCCTCCTCCTGCTCCTCCCCCATCCTCCTCCTTCTCATCCGTCCCTCCTCCCTCCTCCTCCCTCATCTCTCAATTCCTCCTCTCCCATCCTCATCCTCCTTCTCCTCCTGTCCTCGCTCGCTCCTCACTCATCCCCCCTCCCCTCTCCTCCTCCCCTTCCTCCTCCTCCTCACCATGTGCATTCCGCGGCGATGGTTGTCGGCCCGTACTCGGACAACCATCACAGGTTTCCCCCCCGAAC